GGCTTAGCCCAAACTCCTTTTGCGATAATGGTGACTGTCCGACGTGATCTGAACATTAACTTCTGATCTGGCTGGGCTTAATGATCATCACATTTCCCTCAACTTCAGTTGAATTTTTCCTGCGTCTTCATATGTGACCGCGAAATGGAGAATTTCATCATCGACACCCTGTCGCGAAGCAAGAGGGAGATGCTCAATCGCTCACATCCCGCCGACCCAGGTTATGGTTCCTTCCCCATCCGGAAAAGCTGTTCCCACTTTTGGGGTCCTTATCCTCACCTTCTTTCCAAACTCTGATTTTTCTTCTACTGCCAACGGCATCCCTCCTCCCTCCTCCCTCAACTCAACGCAACCAACACTGACACGGCATACGAATTTGCCGTCGAGGTTCAACGCAGCCAACATGGCTCTCTCACACGTAGTCTAGATGCCCAATCTCCAACACGACTCACGCATGACAGCACAACAACTCATGCGAGTCACAACCATTCCATTAACCTGTCTCCCATAAGCCAGCAACACCAACCCTTGCAACTCTACCGTTGGTACGTACATTATTCTTCATCTTTTACTAATCTCCCTTCGTTTGTTTTCCTTTCCTTTCTCTACCATTGGCATTGGTCCTGCCTTCGGCGTCCATTACCGCCGCCTTCGGTCTTGCCGGGGGTACTGTAGGAGCCTGCCCCCAGCGCTACCATGATCACTTATCCACCTGCTCTATCAACGTGGCCAGCGTATCAATGTTTGGCGCATCGATGATTACTGGTTCAAATTGGACTCGCCTCATCAAATTAGTTAATCAGTTGATCGATTTTGCGTACCGCTGATTGCTGATATGCGTCGGATTTGTTGTCAGTGCTGGCAGAAACAAAGTTCAAACTGAGCCCATTCACTCGGCCTTCCGCCTCGGCTTGAGACGGACGCAACACTGCAGTGTTCTCTCACGGTGCCGATGGTCAAACTCAACGTCAGGTCGAGTCAACCCTTCTGTTATCTCTTCTCCTACTTATTCTGTACAGAA